CCTAATGCAAGTGTCACTGTAGCTGTTGTGATTTAATTTTATCCTTAGTTCATATTTTTTCTCCATTACTTTGGCATATGTATGATAATCTATGATAATTATTTTGAAATAAAGGAAAATTAAATTTAATCCACGGATAAAATTAAACCTCAAAACAGCCATCGTAACTACCGTTATGAACAGCAATGAACAGACTCTAACTACTTCTGAAAGCTTGCATCTTACCAAAAATACTTGTTCTCAGAGTTTCTGGCAAGATGCCTTAAATCGTCAGCAGTTAGAATTTTGGCAAATAAAAACTTTTGTCCTTTGCTAGGTATAAAATAAGTCTTCTCAAGCCGTCTACCAAGGCACTCCAACTTTCCAGCAAAATTTCCATTAGAATGGACAACAGAGGATTCCTTTCTTTGCAATATATGATCATAAATGAAGATGGACAAGTCTGTTTTGTAGAATATCTGGTAAGTATGACTGTACGAGGGTGGTAAATGAAAGTTCTTTTACCCTTAGGATGTAAAGGTGACGACGGTGACAGTGATGAAGATTATTTTTGTTGGGGATGATGATAATGATGATGATGATGATTGTGATTGTGATGATAATGGCGGTCCCGTCTTCATAAGGGGACGTGTCCTCAATCAGTACTTTTGTGTTGAATAACTTGACTTTTAAATAAAGTAGTTTTTCCGTTTCGCTTGCCCTTAATTAAAAACTTTTTAAGCTCTCGTTTACCAGTTATAAACACCTTTACTCAGTCTTTGTGATTCGACTTTGATCGTTCTAAAAGGTGAGATTATTGGCGTTTCCGTAGTACACTTAACTTTCTTTTTATGTCACTAGTGCGCACCGGACGAAGAAGTAGACGAGGAAGAGGAAGAAGAACTTGGTTAAACGAGAAACAGGAAAAGAAGAAAACCAACTTTTTCTTTCGTTGTAAAATCAACGAAATTTTTGCCGAAAATTTTTGCAAGTATATGTACAAATAATTAAAATATTGTATTGCTTTAACTTCCACTCAAATTAAAGCGTGTTTTACAAATAAATGGATTTGCAGTTGAACACTGACATAAGCCTCAGCCAAAGACCTCTTCCAACTCATTCTCATTTAAGTAGACCTCATTTCAATGAAAGTACTTTTTCTCTTTAGCCTGTTCACAGACCCTCTATAAGCCGCGGAATATTTATTGACCACTGGCGCGTAGGGGAGTGGGGTTGGGTAAATGGGAAAATAGACGCTTTTCTCGCGCTTCGCGCTCGGCCGCCGCATCGAGAAAAAATCGTCTGTGGAAAGGCTGTTTCATTGGTTGACCTTATCTTTGTTTTGTTTTAAAAACTTCTTTCATACTCGAGCAGAGATACAGAAACGTAATTATGATGACTGGCACTGACCCTGCGAGCAATGGTTTCTGCAGGCCGGACGTACCGACCGGGCTGGAGAAACCACTGCTCGCAGAGCAGATAGCAGGAGGCAACTGGCACTTTCTGAAGAGTACTTCATTAGAGAGTGAGTATAAGGAATGTCTTAAAATCGAGGCTATGGTCTGTGGATATTACGGGAAAACTGGTAAAGTAAGAAAAGTGATGCATAAGACGCGTCATGAATGACACACGAACTATACCATTTATACGAGCATATGAGGTGCGTCCTTGCTTACTCACGTCTTATTTTAATAAGACGCCAAGATCTAGGCCTAACGTCGACCTTTTACGTGAGACGAACCATACTTACCGAATTAAGTTCTTGAAAAGTTCGACGTCTGGCTTATTTAAGTTCGTCTGAATGACTTTGGATCGTCCAACACGTTCGGTCCGTCTGCTTCAGACGGATCGAACGTCGTAAGATCGTCTCCGCCGGACAAACATCGATCTTCGCGTGCGACGAACTAAGCAAATAAATTACAAATTTGTATGGTAAATATACTGATTTAGTCTCGTTCGGGAGAAAATTTATTACGGGACACCCCCGGGCCACCTAATTGCGAGTGCTTTTTGGTCTCATTCAGTTGATTATAATCTTACGTTATAGACGCGCCTGTTTTTTCCTCTTATAAATAGTTCTTATGCCTTTTAATGGGTAATTCCCAGGGCGTAATTCTTGGTATTTTTTGCGTACATTATGGTGGAGCACTACGCTTGACACGCGTTCTGGCTGCCTAAATTGCCCGCGGATTTTTGTACATGTTTCGCATGTTTACGCTTGTAAATGACAACCTGTAAAACAGGCCGTGTTTAGACAGGCAAATGGCGGTTAACTTACAGGTTGATACTCTTAAACGGTTTGTTACTTTTTGTACAGATCTAAACTGTATTTTTACTTGTTATTAGAACGAAGCTATCGGTACGCGAAAGCTTAGACTGCAAGCTCACAAAGCTAAGTAAAAGATTGTTTTAAAATTTCTATTAAACATGGAGATGGTGAATAAGTTACTGAAACTGAATTACAAAGTCATCGTTGTACCGTATATTCAGAATCCGGAGTTCAAGTTGATACACAGCTGTCGAAAAAATCTTGTCATAAGTCTGTTCACCTTTGGTGAAGGCAAAAAACAAGAACGTTATTTTAGCAATGTGTCCGAGACACTATGGCACAAAGTCACAAAGTGAAAAAGTTAGACAAGTTAGTCGGTTTAACCTCCAGTAAGTTGAACTCCTTTTCCTTGCCTTTGTTTATGGCGAAAGACGAATGTAAATACTCTCATTTCAGTCATAAACAGGAACATTTTGGTAATGCATGGTTTTGTTGTTGTAACGTGTATTGACACCTTGGTATTTGTCAGTATCTCGCGACAATGCTAATTTAAATCATCTCGTTCAATTTTAAAAAAGAAACTACAGTTTTTGGGGGGCGTATTTTCTTGTTACACCAAAAAGATGGGAAATCTACAGTTGTTACTCTCGGAATTACCAGCCTTTTTTCGGGAGGGTCACTGTATTATTTTGGAAGTTTTCAATAGGGTATAAACAAAACTAAACACGGTTTTAAAGTGAAGTATTTAGTAAAACCCTACATTGCAACAACCTTTATATTGAGCGACTGAATTTCGTGCTTGTAGAAGCATGTGATGAAACCCCCCTTGACAGGTAAACTATTTCTGGTCATTTGTTGAGGTTGTAAAAATTTTGAAAAGGTTTTTTTTTTCCTTGCAGTTTTATGTATTTTTATAAACACTCTTTTGTTTAATTTCCGAAAAGCATTCTTTTTCTATTGATTTTAAATTTTATAACAGAAACTTTGATTTTTTTTTCTATTTTCACCTTCGGTAATTATTAATTACATTATTTCATTACATTTTCTTTCCTTGTTTTCTTTTTTCGCTTTATACCAAGCCGTTCTAACCGTCCCGTGAAACTTAAAAGCAAGGACGATTTGAGGAAGTTTGTATTAAAACCCATTTAACTCCCTTCTATAACAATCTTGTTATATAATATGATAAACCCTTTTTTGTTAAATGGGCTTGGACAAGCGAGAAACACCTAATAATAGTTTTCATGTTCAGATCTGATATGATGATGTCATTCTAGCGTTACATCATATCCAATATTCTTAAGTCAAAGATTCAGAAGAGAATACTACATTGGCCGTGGGGAGCATAACTAACAATTGATCCTTTTTAAACAGACCTCAGCTCCTGACCTCAGGTATCATTCCTTAAACCCGTGATCAAGGTTGACAAGAAAGGCAGTCAGAGAGCAGATTCTGGTAAGATAATGTGATCTTGCAGTTCATTTTAGCAGTGAGAGGTCATATAACACTTTTGCTTCACTTTGCCGGTCATTGTTTGCCAAAAAAGGTATTTTTTACTTAAAAAAATCCCTGACTTTACAGAGGTAACAAAATTACTGGCAGACAAGTAGTTTTCTTTATGGCCAACAAGTTTAAGAATCCCAACTGACCAAGGAAGTTGACCTTGGGACGACAGAGAACAAATTCAGCTTGGGTTTAGTGCGGGTATTAAACTCGGGGTCTCCGGATAACAATTCCAGCCCCCTTGCCACTTGGCCACGCCACGAAGTTTTCTTCTTCTAGTCCGTATAACAGTTATGTCCTTTCCGAGGGCCCATACGTCGTGTGAAAAACGTTTTTGCATCGTTCCTTTCTTTACCTATGTGTCATGTTCCTCGGATGATTTACACCCAAAAGGGCTACGACAGCCATTTTTCCAATCCAATTAACCATCTTGAAATGAGAGAAATAATGTGAGTTAAGGAAAAAATTTTTGAAGGCTATATAGTTTGTGATCCTTTATATTCTCTAACCCTACAAACTATTGCGAGTAAACAAGCGGTGTACCAAAACAATTACATTCTGACATCCCACAATAGCTTTTCTTGAAAAGCAGAACTGTACCACGCTTGCCCTGCGATAACAGACACGAACCTTCTAAAGAAATGAAAGTCGACTAACAACAATTACAACCAATGCCCCCAAACTGAGAAACCAGGTCTGAAAGTAAATCCCATAAATGTAACAAAAGCCAACAAAAAACGAACATTCTCAAAAACAAGACTCCAACTTATTCACGCAAATAAACACAATCAAAATTTGGAAATTTTGGTGACTAAAAATCATTCTTTAGATTTCTTAAACCTTCCGTGAATTTTCCTTTCTTTTCACCTGAAAATTCACAAGCCTCCTATCCCACACCTTCGAAATTCCCCGGAAGAATCGAACCCTCCTCCACCAGTAAATACCTGAATCAAATGACCACGCCCATCTTCAAACAAAAGGCTACCAATTTTGGGAGTATCGAAAGAATCGATGGAAACGTTGCCATATTTCACGTCCAGGCTTTCTCTGAAATTGCAATATTTACAATGTTTACGAATAGCAGTTTTGTATTTTGTAGGCTTTTTAATTCTTTATGCTTAAATATCTCTCAGCCAAAAAAGTACCAAATGTCTTAACCTCTTAAATAAAAGTGATAGTAAAAATATGCTTGACATTTTCCCTACATTTTATTAATAACGGGCCATTGATATTTACCTTACAGGTTGAAATTATGAAGGAAAATCTCCTTGTGATATTATTTCTGTCCATACAATGCTCTCCATCGACTTCACTCAGCGGTCTTAGTATCCTTAATTCGGCAAGCAACAAAGTTGGATATCTGAATTCTGGTCTTGGCATGATCTCGCGCTCAAAAAGCGTCAATGCAGCGTCCCAGATGTTACGAGGTGAGGACGATGCCGCAGTTAGAGAAAGTTTGGCTCAGGCTGTCACAACTTTAGCAGTTCTCGACATCGGAGGAGGAGCGTTGGTCCCGGTAACACAACATATTATTGATACTATAACGACCGATAGTGCGTTCAAGGCGACAAGAGACGCCTGGGGAGTCTACAGAGAAGGTCTGGAGGAGACTTTCAAGCAGAACTTCAAAAGGTTGCCAGAGAGTGCTGTAAAACGACTTCTGACCAACAAAAAGAACCAAGTGCTAAACGCCTTCGAAACGGACTTGGGGAAGGTACATAATATACCAAAATATAGCAAGACAATGAAGTACATCAACCGAGCAAAACGATGGTTTCGCGCGAAAACCGCAGCCAAAGTGCTGGGACCCTTGTTTGATTGCATCGGAATTGGAGTCAATTCATGGGCCCTACAAACAGCTATCAGGGACTGCAACGATAACCCCAGGACCTGCAATAAAGGAGCGATCGCCTCTGCTTCCCTTGGAATTGTTTCTGGTGTCGTTGGCGTGGGAGTCTTCGTCGCTACCCTTGTTGTCTCATCATCAGTATCGGCAGTCCTTGGTCCAGTTGGTGCGCTTGTATCGTTCACACTCGCAATATGCGCAACGTTAATCGAGCTGTTTTATAAGCCTCCAGTCGATGAAGAAGAACTTCGGTACCAAAAGACAATCCAGATGATCCAGGTACTGGAAAGTTATTCAAGGCGACAACTTTATAGCGCAAACAAGTTCATGGCCTACAACAACATCACAAGAGGTGACCTCTATGTTGTCAACCAAGGACAGTTACCGTTGTGGATTGACAAAAACGATAAGCTTAAATTTGGGAAGTCTGAGTCAGAAAATCCAAGAAAAATCATCAACTTTCGCGGCACTTGTAAATCTGGATATAACTGGCGTGTACATGGTCGTTTGACGGGTCCCGGTGGTAAGTACAACCCCAGACATTGTCCTTTGCTCGTTGACGGGAAGAACATCGAGGCACGCGATGATGATGATAATGTTGGCTACGGATTCTATGGTTTCACAACCGACGCTCGCGACCTTACACACCATCAACTTTTGCAGCCAGATCAAGAGTACAACGGCTCCATTATTCTCGTTAACACCGACGCGGTTCAAAGTTCTGAATTAAAAAAAGAGGACTTGGACGACCCTCTTAGAGGTATTGAAATCGACACCGCTAAGAAGGGCAACTATGAGGCATATGATGACGTTGTTGCCCTCGGAAACATGAAAAACCTTCACAGGTCGGCAAAAGTTACAATACGAACGGGACTAGGGAACGACGTTTTGAACATCGATGGATTTATTGGCCAAGAAGCGGATCGGTTGGACGCGGAGTTGGGGCCTGGATTCAACACGTTATCATTTCTTGGCATGTCTGAAAATATCTCTGAGATCTCAGGAATGACTTACAATGCCGACGACGGCACAGTCAATCTGTATCTTACAGGAATCGGTTTACTACGTGTTGGCGTTGTTAAACCAGTTTCAGTTTTGGGCGCTTCTCCATTTATTGCTGATATGATCCATTTGTTTGCGCATGAAAAGGCGGAGAATGGCGATGATTTCACAGTTGTTAAGTTCAAAGGAAAAGGAGTTTATGTGATAGAAATAAATAAGGTGGCACGTTTGTCATTTGTACCACATTTTAAAATCATTGACACCACAGACAATGGTCAAGAAGGAAAAAATAAATGCCAAAATCATTACCCTCTTCTAAGCCTGCTCACCTTTCACATGTCAGCTGTCGCCAATGATATTCTTTATAATGGAACTCATATCAATATTTATGGAAAAGGCCTAAGAGAAAAGAAGCGGAAGCGGGATACAACAGACACTGTAGATAACTCACACGTGTCACCCCTCTCAAGAAGATGTTCTGGTGAGCCTGAAGATGGTAGTCACCCCATTGGAGGAAGGAATGGTAAAAGGTTACTTTTAACTGTATCATTCCACACAAAATGTCCAGGAAAGGTGGAAGCTGACAATGAATACGGCGGATGCGTGATGAAAACCAGGTTAGTTTCAGAACTTGACTCGGTATTTTTTGACGGGGAAAGTCTTTCAAGTAATTTTGGAGAAGATGTTCAAAGCAGCCAACCACGTCTTTGGAAGGCCGATGTCTGCATACTGAAGTGTCCCCAACGACAGGTGACACGCTCTACAACAATAAACCTTGGAAGAGGTACTGATTATCTTGTCATCAAAAATGATTTGTTCCTCGATCCTTGTGGAATCGACGGAGAAGAATCAGATATGATCTTGAAGAGGAAAGATGGGGATACTTGGGAGCTGGAATTCACTGGCGAACACGACAAGTTCACTGGCAGTGGCAAAAAACATCTCCTAAAAGGCGTCAAGTGGATCGTGAATGAATACGGCCACAAGATAGTCGACTTAGAAGAAGTAAGGGAGGATGTGATCAACCTGTTTGATGAGTACACTCGGAAGACTGCAATGGATATTGGCAATCAAGTACGCCATGAGCAAACTGATGAAGTTGCTGATACCTTGACGGAGTGTCTGCAAAACCAAACGACACAAGGTCTGGCTAATATTTGCAAAACAGACTGAAAAATTTGTAGTCATCCACCGGCAGCACACTCCACCCCCGTTACCCCTATATCCCTTAGTTGGACGTGTGATAACAGGTTAATGGAGAAGATGAAGTTATATTCATAAGGAAATGCATGATTTATACTGAAAATAAGACAGCTGATACTTTGATTTACCCTTGTTTGAAGAAAAATGTACATGGACTTTCGTCTCTAACCTGGATCGTTTAGTTGACTTGACAGATAATCGAAGAGTTTCGTTCTCCTGAATCGTATACGATGAACATATAATAACAGTAGCTAGTGATTGAAGGCGAAAAAATGGTTTACGTTTACAACAATACAAGACATTTGAATAAACGATTATTGAAATCATTTGAAACAGCATTGATCTTTTCCTTTCTTTTCTGATTTTATCGGCTTTTTCTCTGTGACATAGAGGTTCTTGTTTTTTCTCTCTTTTGACCAAGAGTGACTGCTTCCGCAAAGCGTCTCCCTCTCTCAGTTCGCCTTCGCTACCAGTTTCCACGTTTTCAAAAAACGAGCAAAAGGAACAAGAGAAAATAAATAATAACTTCTGTACTTCTCTGACTGGGTATCACAAATGAAGGGGGAAGCGACGACGAGATGATTTTTTCACCCTCCTATATTTTGTACTTTAACAATATGCGTACTAAGAGTGCACTTTAATTTTCTTAGTACGATTCTTTGAACAATACCAAACTGGAAAGCAAAAAACGTTTTATCAGAGTACCCTGCTTTATTGGAAAAACAGTGACCCGATAAAACATTCTAAACATCTCTTTAAAAAATATCTCCTTTCTGATTTATCCCTAAATATCTTCAAATTTCGCTCTTTAGCACTTTAATTGATTAAATGTCGGCTACGTCTGGAATGACTTTCAGCAGCTCAAAGAACGGGTTGAACCAAAATGAAGATGGAGTGTACTGGGGTTACAAGCTTCCAATGCAGACATTTTTGCACTTGCAATGCTCCTTGCTAGAAACTCTTGGAGTGGTGCACATGTTCAATGCAGTAAAGTTACGGTCTGCGGTTTCTCAGGAGCTGATGGATTATAAACTTATACTACTACATGAGAAATTTCTGCAATTTGATTGGCTTAGAGCGGTGGTATTTCAGCTTAATTTGAAATACCTACATGTGAAAATTACAAACCTTGTGCGAATAGTAGTATAAACAAATAATAGCATGATTTGTACGTGATATTTGGCATAAACACGACTAGTGATATTTCAAAATTGTCTCAAATTTCACTCGCCTAACGGCTCGTGAAATTACGTATAACAATTTCGAAATATCACTCGTGGTATTTATGCCAAATATTACTACAAATCATGCTATTACCTATACTAATCCTCACCCAGCGATAGCGCCGGAGTTTTATAACTGATCATTATGAACTCCCTTCAGAGTTTAGATTTGACACGTCTTTAGGTGCAGATCACAATCCACTCAAAAATACTTGTACTGTATGTCTTATTTTAAAATGCGAATTAGAAACGTTACTGAAATTAGGAAAAATTCAAGGTGTTTTTATAACAAACGTTCATCCAAGTAATCTTTCAAAAGATCACTAAAGAAATGTAAAAGAACGAAATCATTTGTTTCTTTTCATTCGCCGTACGATTCAGTATTATAAAACTGAAATTATATATTATAAAATTGATGAAAATGGTCAGTATTCACATAACGTGGTTGCCGTGTATTTCTTGGACTGGTACCGAAGAATGAACATCGACTGGAACTACAAGTGTTTGTCCTTCAGACGGAGTTGGAGTAGTAGGAGTGTCAGGTTCTATTCCTATCAGGTGATCATCATCATCGTCATCATTTTCTAATGTCTGGTTTCCACAACAGTTGGAAGGATAATTATCTGCGGCCACAGAGCTTAACAGTGAGCTTTCATCATCATGAGTCCTGTTATATTCGTCTGCCTTTTCTCGATCTTTTTCCAGATAGAATGAGCACATTATGAAACAAAATCCACCCAGGGCAGAAATGAATGTTGTCATATAAAGCGAATACTCCATGCTTGTTGCCCGAGCCGCATCGTTGGTCTTTGATCCCCTTATTAGATCAGAAACCTGTATAAAAAAGAATAGAATCTTGGTTTAACCATTAAATTGTGAGGCTATGGAATGGAGCCTTTTCTTCCTACGGTGAGACCATTCAATTGCAGCCTCCACTTTAGCAGTACCTTACCCTGCGAGCAGTGGTATCTCCTGGCCGTAGGCTACATAGTATAGCGTCCGGCCTGAAGAAACCACTTCTCGTAGAGTAGCAGTACCTTAACACGGTACTGTTTATTTTGTATGTTGAAACTCTAAGCTCTGTGAATAAAACCCTACGGTGCGACCATTCAAAAGAAACATCTTCACCAGTACATAAACATTGTACGATTCATTCAGTATGCAGTTTAAACCTTTAAGGCGGTGGACCAATTGATGCACTGACGTGAACATTCGAAATGAAACTTATTCAGCCGTAATATTTAACGTGCTAGTTTTTGATTCTTATTAGTCTACAACACGAAATTACTATAAGGCTGATACAATAAACACCTGTGAATAAGAACCTAATGGATTAGGAACCTTCTGACAGAAATTTGCCACTTTAATACACAAAAATAAATGAACCCGTTTAGCACCAAGCAAGATCAAGCAGGTTCTTATATGTGGGTTGCAGTTAAATTATGACGAATACCTTTAACCAAAGATTTAAGCATAACAAGAACATACTGTACCAAACTGTACATAAATACTGTAATCAGTTTTGTTATGGTTTTAATAATGCAGTTGTGATTAAATACCGTATAATTAAGGACCAAACCCAAATTTATTTCTTATTTGGGCAATCAACAATCAGTTATCTCCTTCACAGAAATTAAGAACCTAATTAAGAACCCACTTAGCCAAAATTGCCAATAAAAATCCCAAAATACAAGAACCTATTTTGCCAAACTTCAAAAAAAGTAGGTTCTTATTTGTGGGCATTTACTGTACTTGAGACATCCTACCCGGCAAAATGTAGTGGTGGTGTGACAGAGTGGTCAGCTCACCAAACTTAAAAACTGATCAAGCCTAGAACTCTCAGCTCTGGCTGGGGTTGTTTTCTTTTTGTTGTCCCGAGTAAGACCTCCCAACCAAGCTTATAAAAAGTCAGCTAGTATATGCTCTCGTAACTCAGGGTTTTAAACCTTATTATGAATGATCTGTTTAAGTCATTCACTATGCTCAACTAGCCATAGTGTAATAAAATCTGTTGTTGAGTTTAAGAATCTTACCTTACCAACAAGCCATGGACTACCTGCATCACCCAGCAAGTGTGAGACAAGAATCTGAACAGCTGAAGCAGTTGAGCGACGAGCAGGAATGATTATGTACTGAAATCAATAATTAACAATTAATGAATGAGGCTGAGTATGTTATGAGGAATTATGAAGATTGAGGAGGGTGTTATCTGTCGAGGCCGTAGGCCAAGGAGGAAACACCCTCTGAGATCTCCATAATTCTTCATACGATACAAAAGCCAAATTCAATAATTGTTTCATTAATCATTCAAATCAATTCCGAGTTTAAAAACACAGCTAAAACATGCTTACCTCCATCGATGTTAAGTTCATCTTCGCTAGTACACGTTTAGGGTTGTTCACCTCTGCAAATATTCTCTAAATAGCAGATGTCGCCCTTCGAGTTGTCTTCTTGCTGTTCTTGCCATGTTTTTAGCTATTATTTCGCCTAACTCTTACTCTTGAAACGAGTGAAATGTCCCGCATTTTTGTTTTTGCAACCAAAACAACTCAACCTCCTCCCCAAGTGTTCTCAGTCAACTGTGCATTAACCTGCAAGGACGCTGCACTTTTGACATCATCCGTTCATTAATCACAAAATTCTTCCAAATTGGCCATCAGTAGCTGGTTATGGTGAATTATGCGTGTGCTTTTAGCCAATCAGAATTGAGGAAATATTTTGAATGAATAATAATACTTGTTTAAAAACTCTGAATGTTTTTGCCTTACCAAAACCATATCTCCAACAGGTGCCCAGTTCATAAAGAGTAGCACTTCGCCAAAGAATATAAGAGCCTGAAAAAACAAAAGTAGCACAAGGTAAGCACAATACATTGCCAACTAAATTAACAAGTAACCATGAACAACACCCATTTAAAATCGTAGTACTACTCACATATGTCACTTTGATGTTCTTATCTGCTAACAGAAGACATACATAGAGGAAAGGCACTGAAGATAGTAATCCAAACGCACATACAAGAGCATCTGCTTTTCTGTTTCGTACTCTGTACCGCTGGGCTATTTCTGCACCCAGCCCCACACCTAATATTCCAGCGGCACAAGTGATGCCGCCAACCTTTAAGTTGATACTTCAAAATGAAATTGAAAAGAAAAATGTCACTCCTTTGCTGCTTAAACAAGGACCTTATTATCATCTGGGGGTTATTTAACTGAAGGCTCAAGTCTTTCGGCTGTTAAGCATGGTTCACATGGTTCTACAGGTAGTAGTATAAACAAATAATAGCATGATTTGTATGTGATATTTGGCATAAATACCACTCATGATATTTTATAATTGTCTCCAATTTCACTAACAGCCTGTGAAATTATGTACAACAATTTTGAAATGTCACTCGTGGTATTTATGCCAAACATCACATACAAATCATGCTATTATTTGTTTATACTACTACCTGTAGAACCATGTGAACTTATAGAACCCTGACAAGACAAATACTAGTTAATTTAACCTGAGCACAGACTTTACCTACATTCTATTTCACCTTCAAATACTCTGATTACTGTACAAAGACTAGAACCTCTATAAAAGGAGTACTGACCCATATGGATTACCGGTACACCCTTATTCAACATCACTCATCTGTGCTCACCTTGTATCAGTCTCATATATTCCCTGTGTACTGCTTGCCTTAGATAGAAATTTGGGGGCCCAAAATGCCAAAGCTCCAGTAACAAATGCAACACAAGTGAACCCCAGAGTCAACCAAATGAAGCTCTTCCTATCATGTCATAAGCAAGAATAAAACAAAGATATAAATATAAAAAAAGGTTAGAAAGTTCTTCATGCACATCATCTTATTCTGTCCCCAGCTTTTACAAAATGCCTGGGAGGCACCTCACGTTGAAACTAGATTTACCTTGAATCTCATCTGGCACTCACAACTTTTTTTCTGAACTTTAACTATGATGCTTGATTCACCTTTTTTTAAAAAAAATATTGGACAGCCTTGGTCTTATGCGTTGGTCGACAGTTAATTTTGAGCAAGACCCTGATACAGTCCTCTCTACCTGGTGTGTAATTAATTAAATTTTGGCCCTGCTCACAATAGAGCCTCCAGGAGCTCAGTGAAAGAGCATCCAATCTAAGGAGGATCATGAGTTTGAATCTCATTAAGAACTCACAATTTTTTTCTGAAATTTCTGGTGCTTGATGCTCAAAATTATGATTTTTGACCAGCATTGTTGCTTGGACAATATCAATTTTTCATCTTCTACAGTCAAAGATAATAGATGAAGAGAAAAAAGTATCACATGCAGGTTTTTCAGACGTAATAAGTCAAAAGCTCTTAAATACATAGCCTGAAATACAGCTGTCTCGCCTTGCTGCTTGCTGCTAGTGACTAATGGCGAGGAGTGAGGAGAGACAGATGTATAAAATTAATGTGGTACACATTGTGAATCATGAAAATAGACTAAAACTCACACTGTGGCAAGATACTTCAGGTCAGTGAGCCAGGAGGATGTGTTGTGTACATTAGAAGCTGAAACAGCATTTGGGTTTTCCCCTCTCTCTATTGCTCCTCTTTTGGGTTCATGAACAACGAAGACACAAAGGAGGACACACACAGCACCAAGCATAGGTGTTGCCTGCACAAAAAAGAGAGAGCTTCAAATGAGACATTGACAGTGGAGGTTATTTGATTTTGAGCCGCTTGAATAATAAACAATATAAGAGAAAGTGGTAGAAACATTGCACTTTTTAATTTCACACATGTTTTTGCCAGGCTGCACAATCTGTTCTACAGCTAAAGCAAATATATAATGTGAATAAAGAAAGGATAAGATTTATAAGAATGTTAAAAAACATGTGCACTGATGCACAACTGAATTAGAAGGAAGGTTAGCCAGGGTAATTTCCCTCTAAATCTGTTCTACAGCTAAAGCAAATATATAATGTGAATAAAGAAAGGATAAGATTTATAAGAATGTTAAAAAACATGTGCACTGATGCACAACTGAATTAGAAGGAAGGTTAGCCAGGGTAATTTCCCTCTATTGTGGTATACCATTCCACTCCAAAACATACTTGGGGATAATTCTTAGGGTGCAAAGAAAAAAGGCCTTGATCATTTTGAGATTGGGATCATTTAACGCTATGTTCCAAAGGTAACCAGCATCAATTTTCTCTTACCATTGTCAATAAAAAATCAAGAAATTCGGTTACGGTAAAATGATGGCCAAAGCACATTAATGCAGACACTGAGGGTCGTAGAAAGTGTTCGTATTGACGGGGTGTCCATATTATGTGGGGTAAATTTAGAGGAAATGTAAAACTGTCCGCAATAATAAGCGGGTGTCTGTGGTTTGACCAAATAAGAATGATAACCAAAGGGAAGATAATTTGACCCTTGAAACAAATCCTCTCAAATAATGTTCTTTAAGGAAATATATGGAGATCAGTTTAGAAAGTTTGAACTTGGATTTTGGAGGTTTAGAAGGTTAAGAGTCAAATTTGAGGGGTAATTTTTTTTTTGGAAGAAGTACATATCACATTATTGATTGTAATTTTTTCTTTTTAGTTAACAGAGAAGCAAAAAGGGACTTTTGAAAAGCAAATAAATACAGAAAAGTATCTTACACGAAGTCCCCACTGCCAATTATTGTCAAAAGCCCCGGCAACTGTTGTACCAACTATGTAACCAAGCCCACTAAGACAAAACATATGACAAAAATATTAATAAATTATCATAATCTTATTTAAATTTATTCAAATTGATTGCATCAAGGAATAAGCAGGCCAATAAAGCTTTAAGATTATTATAAAATATTTATATAAATTATACTGACATGATACTTTAAAATCAACTTAAGTGTATTATCATTCTGTATTAAGTGTATTATCATGCACGATGATGTATTTTTACAACTAAGACTAGAATTCATTTTGTTTTTCCTTCCATATTTAAATTTGGTAGTCCCAGTGAGGTTTAAATAACAAAAGCTATTATTTGCACAAGAAAGCAATACCCTGAAGGATTCTGGCTGTAATAGTACAATGACGCCATTGTACAAATGGCCTATTTTCAAACGAGTGTAATATTTACTATTGCTTTTATGGTCTAAGATAAATTTAAGCTTCCAAGCCTGCAAGCCTTGTCTACATGTTTTGTTTCAAAAAGACCATCAGCTGGACTTGTACAATAACATGTAAAAAGATATATTTCATATTTTTACGTAATATATAGTAAATGCAAAAGTGATCAGTCAATATCAATTCCTACATCACTCTTCTAATGTTTACATCAAGGCTTTATTCAGGGCTCGAATCAAACTTGAATTTCAGCATGTCCTTTGGGCAAGCAGATCTCATATATTGCTTTATGATTTAGTTCGAGGATGATCTGCTTGAACCCTGGATCACTGACAGTGAGCTTCAAAAGTTGCTTACCCAGAAAGAAAATCACTTGTCCCACAACTTTTCCAGCCCAGTTTATTCAATGACTTATTCCCTTTTATTATATAGATACTTAAACACCCCAGTTTGTGATTACACTATATACCTTCCAACAGGAATGGCAAAATAGAAAACAGAGAGCATCTTAGTCCTCATGTCTCCAGTGAAAAGGTCTCCTATGATGGTGGGTGCAATGGTTGAGTAACTAGCCTCACCTATTCCAACAACACCACGAAGGGCAAGGAACCACCAGAAAGACTGCAGTCAAAGAGAAAAAATAGAGGATAATACATGGCTGTGCAGAGATACAAAATTTCTCTTCAAGTGCTGAAAAATATTTCAAGAGTAAATGCAGCCAATCAGTAAAATATTAATCAACATGAGAAAAAAAATTTTGTATCTCGAAGCAGACATGTAATGTTTTATTATTATTTCAGTAAACACCAATGAAATACCAAACTACAGCCCCGTATTTCACTTAAACATTTCTTGGCTGTGAATAGTGCAAATTCATCATTTCACCAGTAAAAATAACATGGTATGTTCACAAGTGAAGATCTCATGTTTTCATGTGAAAGCTAACCTGGTATTTCATTGGCGTTTATATAATAAAGTTGAAGTTCTTTTGTTAAACTTGAAATGGCAGGCTCTCTGTAGAAACCAAATTTAAATTTTACTTCACTCAAATTCTTTGTAAACCTCTGCAAGACATCTAAATTATACATAATAAAGTTGACAACTTTATAATAGCTTTAAAATAACATTATGATACTCTTTACAATGAGCACTATTAATATGATTTAACAGGACTACGACATTGTTAGTGTTCTTATGGTAGTTTTTTTTCCCAAGTAATTACGTATGTAAGTACTAAATCATGGTGACCCTGCATCTTTCATTACTTACATCTTTATTGAGCAGAGTGCTAGCAAAAACAGTTCCAGACCAAACTAATATCCCTGCTGCCATTATATATTTTCTCTTGTATCGATCCCCAAGAAAACCAAATACAGGAGCAAGAACCATATAGCTACAGATAAACACAGTTTGTAACAAGCCTGCTTTTGAGTTTGTTATGTCAAAATATTTCTGAATTTTATCCAAAAGCCCTGATGAAAAAATAGAGCAAATATTCAAAATTACTTCTAATAAATTGCATCTCATTATTTATTCACATATCATGATTCTAGACATCCTAGGAGACCTGGCATGGTCAGTTGGGTCAGGAAAAAATTCCTGACCTGACTGATCCCCTCTGGGTCTCCAAGGATGGATTCTAGAGTGACATTTATGTAATCAAGTATATCCTTTTTACCAAGGGGGGGGGGGGGGGGGTAGCATAGGGCCAGGTGAGGGTGTTGTGGTGGAAAAAAAGTTTCCTGCCTGCGGTGTTCCCCCTGGGGTTCAAAGGGTGGTTGTGGGGTTGTATTTTTTTTAATCAAATTTTTTCTTTTTGCCGGGGGGGGGGGGGGGGTACTTCCTTATAAGAGGCTAATAGGGATGTGCCGCTCGATTGGGTTGCATTTTCATGACTGGGGTGACTATAATGGGGTTGCATTTTCAATAGATTTACTAGAATGGGGTCGCAAATTTTTGGTTTTGGGATAAGTAGGGATTCAAAATGGGAAGATTCTCGGTTAAAAAATCAGAAAATTGTTGTTTATTAAATTTAACAAGAAGCTCACATTGACCGCATTTACATTCCGCCGCTTGAAACCACATTGATAAGGTAGATGCATAAATAGAAAGTGACTAAGTTGGGATTGCAAAAATTGCATTTTCCAAAAAGTGACTAAGATGGGGTCTATAAATTGGCCAAAAAATAGACTGCAATGGGGTAGGGGCTCTGAGAGGCCAGCAGCACATACCCAGCAAACATTAACCCAAGTACTCGCCACCCCCCCCACCCACCCCGGGCCTTTTTATCAGCAAATTGAGACACAACTGCTGTTTATGTGTTATCAGTAGAAATGCCATCTTGGGTAGTAATAAACCAAGCTTGATTCAGAATTTCCTCTGCTTCCAAGCCATAATAATATTCACCAGAGACAAAGGAAATTCTGGCTTAACCTGAAAACACTGATTTTAACTCCAACATAGTTTACTTCATATAAAAACATATGGTATTCTACACATTGCCAGAAGTATAGACCATAAATATGTCATAATATCGAAAAGGAATGGATTCTTTTTCGTGGATTATTTAATCTTTTGGTTGTTGGTTTGTTAATTTGTTTTCAAGTGCTTTGTTTTGTAAAGATTTGAGAGGAAATCATACAAGTGGCAGGGTTCCTTACAATTCTTCTCAAGCCCTTTCTGGCGTGCATTTACGAGGCAGTAGGGTCTCCTTGAAGTTGAAGAAATTATCATAATTAAAGGGGGCGGTGTAAGGGAGGAAAATGGCCATTCAGTAAATTTCCGTCCAGACAATACAGCATTTATTGTCATGGTATTCTTACCTGGTATCGTTTGCCGGTCCATATAATTCAGAAGATTTATGAGAAATAAGACTAACACCGTTACATAAGCACGTCTGTTTCCCCCTAAAAAACGTGTGCGATTCCAACACGGACAGCAACATTTTGGTTTCTCCACCAGCGTGGCGACAGCGTCCTCGTTTTCGCCGTCTGTCACGTTTTCTGCTGCTCCCACTGGCTTTGAATCGGGGACTGCGTCATATGACATAACGAGACGGACAAGATGATAGATGCAAAAAGTGCCTTTGCTAAATGATAATAGTCGTCGTCATGGATGAAATTCAACCTAAACTCAAGCTTAGCGTGCAGCACAAACCGGAACACAGAAGAAACATGAGATGTTTAGTGACATTGCATACAAGAAAGGCTAGGTTACAAAGCTAACAACCATTCCCCTCCCTCCCTTCCCATAGGGAACAAAATTACTCTCGTCCCAGGGCCTTAGCCCTGGTCCTGTTTTAAACCTGATTGCTCTTGACAGCTTTGATCAACGAATCCGTTCGATCGTGGCGGGCATTGTGCCCGATTTTGAAAAAGTTAGAGATTTTCTCCCTGGGAAATCATTTGTTACTTTTTATCACCTGCGAAAAGTTTGATCTTGACTACCTGCTGTGCTAACATGCCGTTGCTTTGCTGAATTGTTTTCTTTGTTCGATTCAACATTTGCTCCCTCGCTCGACTCAAGCGCTTGTCTTCGAACGGGACAGATAGTTTACACGATCTTCGGATTTCTCTCAACAACACTTGACTCTTCAACAGAGGGGCAAACTATTTCATCGTACCTTGATGGTAGACCAAGGAAGTTAGGTGAGTGAATTTGTGTCTACCTATTCGTGACTTTTGAACGTCAAAATAAGTTGAGAGTTTTTCAGCACAGTGCTGCTTTCAATGTGGCAGTGCCGTGATTTCGATCATCAACTAAATTAGCGGTAACACGTTAATTCATTGTAAAACTAAATAAGTGGGTTAGATAAATTTGTACTCTACTTGTGATCTGTGAAGTCATGTTTGTGAGTATGTGACATGAAAAACTAAAGTTAATGTTGCTGCGGTCTCAAATTACAGCTTCTTATCGAATTCCAACCGATCAACACTGGTTTGATGCAACTAAGGATAAGATAGTTAGTTGTGTGATTTATAATAAGCTTAACTGTCGAATTAACAGTAATCAAAACGACCGGATACCCTTTTCAGTACATACATTTAGGCAGTTTTCGTGCAGTTAAAATACTCGTGATTTCTTCCTTGTGTTTTGAACTTTAACAAAAACTCATTGCAAAATACCTTGGCTGTCACTTCTGCCTTTATTTATACGATTGGAAAATATCGAAATGCAGGAAGCGAGAACAAATTTAAATACTTCCTGTCCTGTGAACGTGATTCGATAAGAAATTTGATTCATTACTAGTCTGAATAGAAAAATGAAGAAAGAAGCCATATGTTTTTTAAAAATAGGTTTGTTATATCCGATAAACATCCTTGTTGTTTATTGTGTTGATTTACTCTAGTGTGAATAATTCAGCAGCGTCCATTGTGGTCTCCTTAGGGACACTCGTCTAAAGAGTTTTTTGAAAAGGTCAGCGTCATAAATTGATTAACTGAATAACAATTATAACAGTCTGTCTACTGTTTACTGCTAAAAAATCCAAAATATTAAAATTTGGTTGAAATTGACGATTATTTAGACCACATCAGTTTTACAGTACGTGTTTTGTTTTAAGAAGTCTCTTGACTTTGCAAACACTATATTAGACTGTTAGCGAGACTGTAAAACCATTCGCAATATGCAAACATCATGCTTTGTTTAGAAGTATAACAATAATTTTAAGTTCCAGACTATAACGGGCATTGTGTATGTTTAATCTTGCACATTGTGATTTTCAATAATGGCTGTAATCAATTTCAATGATACCTCCAAATTTTGAAATTCAATTAGTATAGAAAAGAACACTTGAAAATTTAGTTCAGTTGTTGACCTGTACAAAACACCTTTATTGCTTTCAAAACTTGTACACGTTTGCCTTCAGATATACTCAAAAGAAACGGAAATTGAACATTCTATGATTAAAAAACCAATTAACTTTTATTATGGATAAACAGTGTGCAAAGAAAGTTGTGTCCAATAGCCTGAGGCAAGTGGATTTTTCTATCAGGGTAGTGAATTCTGTTCTTAACTTGCCCGACAGGCAAATGAAGTGTTTTGAGGAATTCAAATTACAGAACAACTATGATAAATCCTGCCCAATATGGCAAGCTGTAGAGTTAACTCTTTTTGTTCCCTGATAAACCAAGTTTTTGTGAAATATCTACATACATGTAGCAGTTTCAATTTAATGGATTTTATGGGACTTTGTTAACTAGGTCTGCTATTTACAATTATTAGAAAGGCCGTTTATGCAAACTGAAATATTGCTATACCCCCTCGAAGTCAAATAATTATTATATCTAGTGTATGTGTGGTGGTGTGCTGGTCTTTTAGTTTACAAAGAAGTTGATTGATCTGTAAGTCCAGGTTTAAGCCTGAACCTGCAGGCATTTTCTTAAGACAAAGCAATGTTTTCTTACACATGAATCCCTGTTTCTCTCCACCAAAATGAAAGGGATACTGACACATAGTTTGGGTTTAACTTCTGCATCGCTAAGTGGAGGAGATTGGGTGCCTATGGGAAGTCCAAGGGCTTCCACTGGAGGCCAGCCAGCCCCTAGGATAGACTGAGTACCGCTTTCATGTCTAGCAATGTAATCCCAGCAACCCAGCCTTGAGCCCCCACACAGGGCAGCCAGGCACCCCTTCACACTGACAAGCAGTGGAAAAACGGGGGAGGGACAGGCCTGACCGCTGCCCATCCACTCTTTATTGAATTTAATAATGGCATTCAACTCTGTAGTGGATTAACATCCTGCCTATAGGGGATTAGCAAAACTTCTATCTACTTTATTTACTTATTTTCTTTTATTAGCTTTGCCTATTACTGAGCAACAAATAATAAATGCTTAATGGGTAGGGGTGCCACAACAGTGGTGAGCCAATTACAGTGGTCCCAGTACTTAATTAAACTGAAACCAGGATAAGCTGAGGCTATATGCAGTCCTGATCATTAGCCTAAGGTGTTCCTGCACCTACCAAACTGTTGTAACATTGAAGTATTGTACACAGAGATTTATGGCTAGTCATTTGACCTAATTTTTTTATTCAAACTTACAGATGATCAAACGTGATTAACAACATGGATGTTGCAGATACCAGTCGACACTCAGCAGATTCTATTTGCAGTGATGATACTGAATATCTTCTTGGCCAAAATGTCTCCATTAGGGAAATTGAAGATGATGATCTTCCAGTTCATGAACATGGCAAAGTAAATTCTACCTTTGGTAGGTCTCAATACATGTCACCCCAACGTTCACCTAAAAAGCCTCAGCAAGTAAATTCAAGAAATGTAATATCATCATCAAAAAAGGATGTTAAAGTCAAAACTGTTAGAGGACAAGATGAGTATCACCGATCACCTAGTCGTAGCATAGACAAGCATCTGTCTTCTATGGAACCACATATGAACAAAGTGAAAGGAAAGAAATCAAAAGGTCCTCGTGATTTCATAAGTAATGAAGTTGCAAGGGAGCACAGTGAAATGGTACAGAACAGTTACAGATCAAAAGGAGTGTGGCAAAGTCAAGAACTTGAAGGTGCTCCTAAAAGTAGCAAATCTATTTCAGACAGCTATGCTAAGCACACACACATTCAAGGTAATTTTCAATCACCTGAAAGTCATAAGTCTGTTCATGTTCAAAGTCATCACATGGTCACTGGAATTCCTAAACTTAGAGCAGAACTTCATTATGATCATCCATCACGATTAACTCCTCCTACGAGGGAAAGACAAAATGCAAAGATAAGACCAACAGAACCTGCTAGATTACCAGTGCGACAAAATGTACCTGTTGTTCAAGATAATTGGGAAATTGATTCTCAGATATCCTTGGACACGTTAAATGGTGGCAATAATGTGGAAGTTGAGTCTAATGATTTGGAAAGCCAAGTGTCTGAGGCAACAGAAGATTTAATGAGAGGTGAGGATGAAGATGATGAAGATATTACAGACAAGCTCAAAGAACTCAACTTGGCTGTTAATTACGACACTAACACAAATGGTAAGTACTGACCAGCGTGAATTGTATCCATTAATAATTATGGTTATTGGACTGAGTGGAGTCCAATGTAAATTGCATTCAGCCACATTAAACTGAATTTTATGACACTTAATAATACTGAAAATTGCTTGATCTATTACTTTGCAGAGTACTTTGATGACAAGGTGCGGGAAGGTGCAGAACTCCTATCGAAACTTTTTGGTGGTCAAGTGGACAATTATTACAGTTCCTCAAGGTAAGGTTATCACCTACCCGATTCAAATCCAAATTGAAACAATGTTTTTCAGCTTATGGCAGATGTCACAATAACTATAGCTGCATGGCAATAATGATGCTTAAAACACTAATTGTTACTTGTTTACTTAACTAATTTCCCTCTTGACTGGAAAAAGC